CTCAAACTCCTAGTCTCAAGCAATCCTCCTACCTCAGTTTCTCAAGTAACTGGGATGTTATAGGTGTCAGTCACCTCAACCAGCTCCTGCTATTATTCATTTTTTCATACTGGAGTGAATAAGGTAGTGCATTTATATAGCACTTCCTCCTGCTCCAAGATGTCTACCTTAAAGTAATTTTAACTTTCTAGCCATTAAAACATTATTAAGCAGACTCTTACATAAAAATATAAGGGGTGAGGGGAGAATTTTCAGATTAGATGAAGGAAAACACTTTCTCATGAAAACAAAAAATGAAAATGTTAATTTTTTTATCAAACCTGAACACTTCGAAGAAGGTCTGTAATAATTTCTGCAGCATGTTGGCAACGGTCTGGAGGTCCTGTTATTTGTGCTATTCTATCAGGTGTTGTTCCATCATCTTCAAAACAAAGAAACAAATAGGGTGAATTAAATAACAAATGTGTGTGGGTTAATTCAATAATAATAATAATAACTGCTACCACACTTAGAAGATTAACATATGTACTCACCTGGCTTAAACTGAATTCGAACACCAGCATCATTTTGTATTTTTTTTATCATTTCTCCGTTTCTTCCTATTACAATACCAACAGCAAATCTTGGAATGGGAACCTTATGTAAAGAAGACTAAGTATTAGGAAAGCTATTTCCTGAAAATTAATTTGCATCAAACCACAAAAGTATTAATATATACAATGCTACATTTATATCAAAAGAGCAACATGATACAAAATATACAATTCTGTACTCCAGTAGAAAAGAACACCATGTTAGAGAAGGTTATCCAATACAAAACAGGAAAAACACTACTATTTATGGATTAGCATACAACCATTTTTGAATGATTTTTACTTACATCTATCCCTTCATTTCCTCCTATTCTTGACCCATACTCATTTCGAACTTCTCTGAAACCACCTTGATCACGAATTAACTCTAACACCATTTCCTTGGCTTGCTAAAGTAGAAAAAGTTAGCTAATTTAGAAAGCATGTCTCACAACATTTTAATTATTCATGCATGTTTTGCTCAATCCCGTCCAACCCAAACTCCTTCTTTATAAAGTAAAAAGTTAAGTTTACTTGAACTTTATATGGGTCTCCTGTAATCCTAAGAGGTTTATCAGCGCCAGTGTTCTGAGGTCCATCTTGAATCATAACCATTTTAACTCCAGCCCGCTCCTGTCATAATCAGAGAAATCATATTTATTAAGGAAAGAGTGGAAGAAAACTGACCTCAAAACAGACAAAAAGTAATCATTTATAAATGTAACAATACCTGAAGTTGTTTAATAGTCTCTCCCCCCTTTCCAATAACTAATCCTGCCTTGCTAGCTGGAATCATGATTTCTTGAACTGCGTTTCCTGGTCCATCACCATGATGGAAGCCAGGAGCTGGTCTTCCTTTTTCAACAATCTGGTCCAGTAACCGTTTTGCTGATCTGTTAACAAATTAATATTAAAAAAATAAGGAGCAGCACACCCAAGCTTTTCTAAATAGAGCAATATAAAATAACATAACGAAGTACTCCTATCCAAATTCAAGATTAGGTGCCTTAAAGCTAATACTTATTTATTTGTTTGAGTCTCACTCTCTCCCCTCAGCTATAGTTCGCTGGTGTCATTATAGCTTACTGCAACCTCAAACCCCTGAGCTCAAGCCATCTTTTTGCTTCAATCTCTGAAGTAGCTGAGACAGGCATGCACTACCACATCAGGCTAATTTTTCTAGAGACAAGGTCTTGCTCTTGCTCTTGCTCAGGCTGGTCTCCAACTGCAGACCTCAAGCGATCCTCCCACCTCAGTCTCCCAGAGTGCTAGGATTACAGGCATGAGCTGCTTGCTACACCCGGCCCTGGTTTTTTTTTTAGATGGGGTCTTTATTGCCTAGGCTAGAGTGTAATGGCCTGATCAAAGCTCACTGCTACAGCCTCAAAATCCTGGGCTCAAGCGCATCTTCCTGCCTCAGCTTCCCAAGTAGCTACGATTACAGGTGTGCACCAACACACCTAACTAATTTTTAAATTTTTTTGTAGAGATGGTATCTTGCTGTTGCCCAGGCTGGTCTTAATCTCCTGGCCTCAAGTGATCCTCCCAGCTTGGCTGCTAACAATGGTTTTGCTTTTAACTAAAATGAAAACAAACAAACAAAAAACAAAACAAAAAAGGAAAAACACAAAAAAACAACAAACTATGCAATAAATTTTCTCGGTATACAATTTTAATTTTTGAGAACAGTATAAATTTCTAAGGAATCCTCTAAAGTTATCTCCGAACTAAGCTAATTCCTCCAAGAATTAAATGATTTATTTACATTGTTAAAGCACCATTTTGCTCACTCATGTTAATATTTATTCATTCAACAAATACTTAAATATCAACTAAGTGCTCTTCTAGGTAATGGGGTTAGAGGACTAAAGAAAACAGGGTTTCTGTTAGAATGATTAACTTCATTAAGTAAAAATAGAATGTCAATAAATAATATGTCATTCGGTAAGTACTATAACGAAAATCAAAGCAAAATAAGGACAGAATGTACATGCATGCATTTCTGAAAGGGAATACTATTTTATACAAAATAGACATGGGAGGCCTTACCAATAGAGATAATACCTGAAGGAAGTAGGGAAGTGACAGAAGAAACAAGAGAAATGTTACAGAAGAAACAAGAAGTGCAAAGAACTCAAAGAGCATGCTTGGTGTGCTAAAAGACTACAAGGAGGCTAAATGGGGTTATAAAAAAGTGAGTTGATGGAAGAATGGCAAAAAAAAAAAAAATGAAGTGAGCAAGGTGGCAAATAGGCTAGGCCATGGAAAGACATTAACTTTTACTCTAAATGTGGAGGCATTATAGGATTTTGAGCAAAGTAGTGATATGAACTGATTTACATTTTAAAAGGATCACTATGGCTAGACTACTACAAGAATAGACTACTGTGGGACAAGGGTAAAAAGAACAAAGACATGTTGCAATAATACAAGCAAATGGTGTCTATACCTTCTATACTAAGGTATAGAAGGTGGCAAGAAGAGGCTGGATTCTGAATAAATTATGGAAAAAATGACCAAGAATTGCTTATGGATAAATGGTGCATGAGAGAAAGATAAAACATTAAAACAGATTTGCCCATACAGGGAGATGAGGATAAATAAGACAAAATAAAAGGGTAGCTTGGAGATAAGGTAGAAATCAAAGATTCTGTCTTCATGATCAAAGTTGTAGATGTCTAATAGACATTCAAGTAGGGATACTGAATGAGCAGCAAATACATGAATCTGTAATTTAGGAGAGAGATTAAGGCTGAAAATAAAAATTTAAGAGTATATAAAACTTATGGTATATAAAGCCATATATTAAATTCAGTTTAACAGACTGAATGAAGTCATCTGATAGATATGTGTCAATATACTACATGAGGACTGAATTCTGGATCACTTTTATGTTGAGAGACCAGAAGTTAAAGCAGAACAGCCAAGACTGAGAAAGGGCCAGTCACACAGGTATCTCAAAGCCAAATAAATCAAGTATTTTAAGGAGGCAGTGATTCACTGTGTCACACTGCTGACAGGCTGAATGATGTGGCATTCATTTTGTAACTTTAAGAAGAGAAATTTCAATGAAAAGGTTGGAATAAAAGCCTAACTGACATTGAATTCAAGAGAAAATTAAAACAGGCAGATGATATGGCAAGTATAGCCACCTCATCAAAGAAAAGTTGTTGTAAAATAGAGCAGAGAAATAAAATGTGGGGTTCAGGGATGGGTTTTGTTCAGATAAGATTTTGAAGCATGTCAGTATGCTGTTAGAAATTATCAAGAAGGGAAAACGATTCAAGAGAAAGCTCAATTGCAGGGACACGACCTTCAGCAGGAAGTAAGGGCTGGCCTTAGGCACATGAATACAAAGGAAGGTAATATCGGAGTACTATGGGTATAGGAAACAAATGAAGGCTGAGAGATTTAGTGGTAGAGAAAGGTAGAACTGTTTCTTATTTGCTATTATCTCAAATAAGGTTAAGTGGGAGAGAAGGGGTTAGATGCTGAAGATCTGGAGGAGGGGGGCATATAGTACTAACAAGCCTTGGAAGAGAGTGAATGGAACTAGAGAAATGAAGGCAACACAAAAGTTCACTTGAGCTTAACTGTTTTGAGTTTTAGGTAACAATTAATGTGATTGTGCATTTTTCTCCAGGCCACATTTGGCTTCTCAAGTAGAGACTGGAATAGATAGATATGAAGATGGTTTAAATCATTTTCTGTGTTCAATGGTTCAAATGATGAACCTGAATTGAGAAAGATATGAGGCATAAACTTTGGAGTTAGAGGACATTCAAGGAATTGGGCAGGGAGATGATGGTGTTAAAGAAAGCAGTAATGAAGAACAAAGACAAAGTTCATGTTACTGTAAGAAGACTTTCAGGGCCGGACGCGGTGGCTCACACCTGTAATCCTAGCACTCTGGGAGGTCGAGGCGGGCGGATTGTTTGAGCTCAGGAGTTCGAGACCAGCCTGAGCAAGAGCGAGACTCTGTCTCTACTAAAAATAGAAAGAAATTATCTGGACAACTAAAAAATATATATATAAAAAAAATTAGCCGGGCATGGTGGAGCATGCCTGTAGTCCCAGCTACTTGGGAGGCTGAGGCAACAGGATCACCTGAGCCCAGGAGTTTGAGGTTGCTGTGAGCTAGGCTGAAGCCACGGCACTCTAGCCCTGGCAACAGAGTGAGACTCTGAAAGAAAAAAAAAAAAGAAGACTTTTAAGATTTTCATACTTACTGGACAGATTCAGGTGTTCCAGTTAACATACAGGACCTTTCTGGAAGGCCACCACTGTCTACAATTAAAAAAAAAAAAGGAAAGAAAATTTTAGGTCAAAAGATCAATAGGTAGCATCATTATCACTAGAAACCTAAAAAAAATACTAGTTTTCTAGTCCCTTTGAAAATACCAAGAGAATAATGTTACCAGGAGCTATCTGTATTTTGCATCCAGATTCCTGTTGTATGCGTGAGATCTGTTCACCTCCTCTGCCAATTACTGGTAAAAATAAAAAAAAATAAAAAATTATTTGCGGAAAGATTATAAAGTATGCTTTATATTTTCAAAACTTTAAAAAATTAGGTTACTTACTAAAGCCAACCATTCCATCTGGAACTTTGTATTCTTCTGTCATTACAGACCTGCTAAGAATAACAGAAACTTACATTTTCCTTCGAAGCTAACTTATTTTCAAATAAAAGGTAATCTACTAATAAAAATAGAAGTCTAATGTCTCTTCATGGCTTAAACTAAGGTTCTAAGCATACATTCATGGCAAAATTATGGCATTATTAAACTAAGAATCTTAATTAAGGTGATACACATCAAGTCAGGAAGGAATGGTAAATGGAACAGTCTGAAGACATGAACTGCAAAGGAGTTAGAGTTCAGAGAATATCATCTTAACAGTTACACTAATTACTCCAGTTCTTCTAAAATGTCCCCCTATCCTTCCAAATTACAAATGTATCTCACTCAGAAAGAAAAATGATTGTTATGTTATCTTCCCGAGTGAAAGGAAATAAATTACACATACAAAAAAGTATGCAGACACATATTCACTACACACTAACTTGGTTCTGTCTACAAATATAGCTCAACTAAAACTTGCCAAGTACTTTTTCAAAAGCTTTTGACTATACCTTTGCTGCTGATGCATTGGTGGTAACTGTGTTCCAAAGGCTACCAAAAAAAATGAATAAAAATAAAATGAAAATTCAAAATTCAGGTTTACTTATATATTTAACAATACAATCACATCAAGCATTCTAAGTCTCTCCCTGATGCACTGACAACACCTTGAAGAGAGTAAAATTTCACACAGAATACCTAAATCAGCATTGAGAGTAGCAAAAAAATCCAGTGAAAGACATTATATTAGCAACAGCATAGCACAGAAATCTTTTCTTTTTTAAGAGGTACAAGCATGGTTTAAGAATTGAGTAGTTAAATAAATAAATAACTCAGCATCAATCTTTATTTTCAGCCTCCTGAGTAGCTGGGACTA